CCTGTCAGCCCCCCCCCCCAGAAAATATATCCTAGGGCCACCACTGAGTGTGAACTATTCAAGACTTTTTTATACCCTGTTCAGCAAATTGTGTTTTTAAATATTAGGTTTACAAGAGTACAGTAGAGAGACATTACTAATCTCAACCAGTTTACTGCTTTCTCATTTGTCATCCTTGCTGCTTTTATGATGTCCTTGACACAGTCACTCCACCTTCCTTTTGGCCTCCCTCTCTTGCTGGTGGACTGTTACCCTGTCGCTTGTAGAGGAGTTACCCTGCAAGGGTCCGGAGGTCATAACCCCTGGCAGGTTCAACCATGCCAAACAACCCAAATACGTAGAGGTCACACGAAGCACAGTCCCTGGTCCTCCAGGTTGGTGGCAGGAAGGGCATCTAGCTGTAAAACTATAGCTACGCAATTAGTATGATACAAATATTAATATTTATATTTATTTAAATTTATATTTTTTGATGTTCTCTTACTAGTGGACTACTGATGCAGATCTGAGCAATGCTATATCAGAGCTTGGGGTTAATGATCTGATTGAGATTAAATTCCATGAGAATCGTGCCAACGGACAGTCTAAAGGTTTTGCTACCGTGCATGTTGGATCAGATGGGTCATACCGAGTCATAATGAATGGATTGCCCAAGAAGTAAGTATCCTCACTGAATACTTAACAAACATTGTTCAATCAAGAAAAAAAGATATAAAAACATCGCTTTCAACATTTCATTTAAAATGAGTAAAATAAACGGAAAGACAGGGCTCTCACCAGCATTTCACTTGTGTTTGATCAAAGTCTGATCAAGTCTGACAGACAGTATTATGATAGAGTATGCCCATATTTAGTTCCTAATTATTCAACATTGCAATCATAGCAGTTCATTAAATTATTCATAGATTCAAGATGTACAAGATACATTATTTTCTGAATTTACAGAACAATTAGTTTTACACTTACATGATAAATTACAATTATTTAAAAATAGATAAGCGATTATTAAAATTAGTACACAGATATAATGTGAACAAATTAATAATCTTTTTTTTAACAGAGAATTGCACGGTCAGCAGCCGGTTGTGACACAGTGCAACCGACAAAGCCTGACGCAGTTTGAGGCAGCCTCCAGAAAAGGCGAGGCTAGAGCTCGTAAGTATGACTTTGTAAACACATTTCAACTTTAAATTTTTATAATAGATTATGTATCTTGCACTCTGTCCAGATTAATAATTTGTTCTTTGACTAAAAACTGTTGTATGCCCATATATAGTCATGATATGCCCATATATGGTCATGATATGCCCATATATGATCATGATATGCCTATATATAGTCATGATATGCCTATATATTTTCCTGATATGCCCATATATGGTCATGATATCCCTATATATGATCATGATATGCCTATATATGGTTATGATATATCTATATATGGTCATGATATCCCTATATATGGTCATGATATGCCTATATATGGTTATGATATATCTATATATGGTCATGATATACCTATATATGGTCATTATATGCCTATATATGGTCATGATATGCCTATATATGGTCATGATATGCCTATATATGGTCATGATGTGATGTCATCATGACCGTAGGCATGTCACATGTCTTAGTCAAACAGAGTTTGATTGTCTGGACAGGACCTTATACATCATTTATTTCACCAACATACAAACATATGCATACAGTGAAACAAAATATATAACATTAACATGTACTACTTGTGGCAGCATTGCTCAAAAATAAATAGGTAATTGAGGAGCACTACTTGTAAAATTAGGTAAAAAAATGTTATTTTAAGTAGTCTTAAAATAATTAATATATAATTTCTAATAAATAAATAAATATAAAATTATAAATTTTTTTTAAAATAAATAAATATATTCATCTGTATTATCTGCATTGTGATACAGGTACAAGTTTCTGTTTTGCAATTTTTGAAATGTTTAAAATTTTCTTGCTTTATTAGCTAATGACCGTGATGGTCCACCTCGCCATCATCGTGACGGACCACCCAACCATCGTCAACATGGTCCGTCGCCACATCATAATGATGGGATGCGTTTCCCGCCGCCTCAGCGTGGACCATCTCCTCAAGGAAACCATCCACATCAAGGGCCAGGAAATGGACCTCCACAAAGGGACCATTTCCCTCCATGTAAGTGAAAAGGGTTTAATAAGAGCTGCAGCTTTGTGGCCAAGATGCTTGTCTAGATCCGACTTCAGTGTCAGGGTTCATTTACAACAAATTGACAGCCAAAATAGCTGGGCATTATTCACTCTCAAGTTTTTGTCTGTCGGACAGTGTTTGATGAGACTACTGATATATGCTTATTTCAGACATACCTATTCAGTATTTATTATAAAAATTACGGTAATAAAAAAAAAAAGGCTACACTCGTTGAAATTTATGATTATTTATTTCCATGTGATAATTTAATGGGTAATATAATTGATACACATATACATTGAAAATGGAAATTTATTACCCTGTATATTTTAATTCAACATACCCTGTTAATGGAAAAAACTAAATATTTTTTTCCTACTGATCGTATGAATTTTTTTCTCCAGCTCGTGGACCTCACCCAGGACACCAAGGACCCCCTAGAGGGCCCCCTCCTCCTGGAATGCAAGGTCCACCAAGACAGATGGGGGTAAGTAACTGGATCTGTGTGATTGTTGTTAATAAGCAAAATTAAGTTGGTTACACAAAAGTCTGTATGATAGAGAAGTTAATCCAATGACCAGTACAACTAATTTCAAGATCTTCAAGGAATTATTTAGTTTTAAATAGCAGAAGCATTTCACCCCAACTAAATCCCCCACCCCAACTAAATCCACCTCCCCCTCCCCACTTTCCAAAACATTCCAATTTATAAATTGTGTGAAGACTTGGCTGTAGCATCTGCATTTTAATGATTGTGTTTTTTGTTTTTTTTTTGTACCCATTATAGCCTCCTGGACCAATGAGAGGACCACCCCCAGGTGGACCACGTGGACCCCCACCCCCAGATCAGCGAGGACCACCGCAAAGGTCACCTGGTAAGCTAATCATATTGTTTAGATATGTTAATAGATTCCACTATACATATTTTATTTTTTCCAGTTGTGCAGTATAATTAACTTTCAAATGTATATTTATTTTACATTTAAAGGTAATAAATTATGTATTTTTAAAGATGACTTATGAAATACCTAATTGTGTTTGTTTTTTGTTCAAATTAGATATACACTTTGATATTTTGATGCTGTGTATTCAATTTAAACAACTAGACTTTTTTTTAACTTCTTTTTAGGACCATTTGGTGGACCACCTCACAATGGACCTCCTAGTGGTTCCCCACATGGTGGGCCACCTCCTGGTGGACCACCATTTGGCCCACCACATGGAGGACCACCCCATGGAGGTCCACCACATGGAGGGCCACCACATGGAGGGCCACCTCATGGTGGACCACCTCATGGTGGGCCTCCTCATGGGGGCCATCATCACAGTGGACCACCTCCCCATGGAGGACCACATATTCACAATGGTCCTCCTCATAGTGGTCCTCCTGGGGGACCACCACATCCAGGACCAGGTGGCCCACCTCGTGGACCTCCTATGCAAGGACCGCCACCTCCAGGACCTGGTGGGCCTCCTCCACAGAGAGGCCCTCCACCACCACAGTATGGACCACCACCACATGGTGGACCACCACAGCATCCAGGACCACCACCTCATCCTGGACCACCACCACCACATCCTGGTCCACCACCTCATCCTGGACCACCACCGCCTCATCATCCTGGACCTCCGCCTCCGCATCAAGGACCTCCACAGCCACCGTTCCCTGGTCCTCCACAACAGCACTTTCAAGGCCCTGCCCCAACACACCAAGGACCACCACAAGGACCTCCCCCACATCCCGGTCCTCCTCCGCCTCATCCAGGACCACCACCAGTTCATCCAGGCCCCCCTCCTGCACCTCATGTCAATCCAGCTTTTTTTCATGGAAGCCAAGGCCCTCCGCCGTCGTCTCAAGCAAGTTATACACCAGCTCAGCCACGCTACCCAGAAGAAGAATACAAAACACCAGATAGATACCCTCCTCCAGCTCAACCAAGATATTCTGATGATCAGTATAAGACACCAGAACGGTAAGGATTCCTATTATTCAACACACAAAAGGTTGCTCATCATTACATACTTGGTTTATAAATAGAAACCAAAAAAAAAACACTATATTGAATGTCCTCATTGTGTATGCCAATTAATCAACCTAATCAACAATTAATAGTCATTCACCAATTTACGTAATAACAGAATTTTTAAAAATATCTTGACATTTTTAGGCGTGATAATCCTCCGCCAGCGCCGTCTCCGGCACTTAGTGAAACTGAATTTGAAGAAATCATGGGCCGCAATCGCACAGTTTCCAGCAGTGCCATCTCAAGAGCAGTTATGGATGCCAGCTCAGGTAAGAAACATCAATTTCTAGCCCTTCATGGGGTCAGGGGATGATTTGACATTGGTATAGGCAAGACTCGCACCTCAAGTTGTAGTCCATATTTTCATCTCTGTGCTATGTTTATTCAACTTTTTATGTTTAGTATTCCTTTCAGCGATTTCTACCAAGATATACAAGATACTTTGTGCATATATTGTTATTACTTACTTTTTATTTTTATTAATTCATTGTATTTATTTATTTTTTTATTTCATTTACATATAAGTGGCAGCTTGCAATTCCACAGGAGATCCTGTGAGTAAACGTAATATGTGGCTTTGTTATTTGTTTGTATAGCGCTTTCCTTGCAGTTATGAAGTGTTCTTTGCCATTCTCCACAATAAGATAAGATGAAAAATCCCCCTCCCCCCTCCCATGAGCAAACCTTGCATGCAAACAAACCCAACCCAAAGTTTGCAAACTTAAATAATTATTTTTTCCTTTGTAGGGGAATACGCTTCAGCCATTGAGACACTGGTGACCGCCATCTCCCTCATCAAGCAATCCAAAGTGGCCTCCGATGACCGCTGTAAAGTTATCATCAGCTCCCTGCAGGATTGTCTCAGAGGAATAGAGGATAAATCTTATGGAAGTGCTGCGTAAGTTTATAGAAAAATCCCACTTAATCCATAATTTTTTTTATGTTTTTCTCCAACTTTATATATTTCGCATAAATATCACATTGTCACAAGACAGAAGAAGAATAGAAGGATGCATGTTGGGCATCATGAGGAGAGGTAGGAAAACTGTACAATGGATTAGAAAACAAACAAGGGTTCAAGATAGTTTACAGGATGTTAAAGCCAAAAAATGGAGATGGGTAGGTCAGCTTACTCGGACAAATGATAATGGTTGGATGAAAATAACCACTGAATGGAGTCCAAGAAAGGTACTCGAGGTCTGGGAAAGACCCAAAACCAGGTGGAGAGATGAAATTTTAGGATTTGCCGGCATGTTGTTGTGGATGAAAATTACACAGAAGTCAGTGGTTTCACCCTGCAGTGTGTTGACAACGGCTGAAATGATGATGATGACAATAAGGATTACATTTAATAAAATCAATTACTCTACTCACAATACAAAATTAATTAAAAAAACAGGTCTCCCTCCAATTAAAGACCACTTTTAGGATTGGGGTTTCCATGGTCTTTGGCAGCTTTGGTCTCTAATAAGAATAATAAAGATAAAAGACATTAGTGAATTTGAGACCGGAAAAGTGGTATTTAATTAGAGAGAAACCTGTATGTAACTTAATCTTGTAATATACATTCTCCTCATTCAGTAATACTAGCTCAAGCAGTAGCAGCAGTAAGAGAAATCGTGATCGAAGCTCCAGAGATCGTGAAGAGCGTCACCGCTCGAGAGAATCGAAGAGTAGCCGTCACAAAGAGAGACGTGAACGATCACGCAGTCGAGGGAGCAGAGAACGGGAGTACCGGGAGAGAAGTCGTGATCGGGAGTATCGTGACCGTGAGCGAGGAGAACGTGAAAGCAGGAGCGATAGAGAACGAGATCGTGATCGTGAATATAGACGTCGTTAAGTATTCTTGCTGTCCTTTATGGGTGAGTAGAAAGTTTAATCATATTCGTAGGCTTTTGTTCCCCTTCTTCCTGAAGAAGGTAAGTCAGAGAAAGGTAGGTGGATGCTTACATTTTTTCCATTGTTCAATAACATGATTTTTAATAAAAGTATCTGCAATAAAAAGAAATACCATTTTTCAAGTGTAGATGTCTGTGTTTTTAAAACAAATTTTTATTTTGTCTTGGTATATAAAAATATTTCTTGTCACAAATATGTTATAGAAATACTTCAAAATATTTGAATTGTTGTGGTATTGGTAAGTTGAATTAACAGAGTTACAAGAATTTTTATTGTAGTATTTGTTTACACCGTCATTGTCACCTTTATTTTCAGGAGCATCGTCATCATCATCACCACCATTTTTGTAATTATTACAACCATCTATTCTCATTGTCAACATCATATCGCCATCATTATCATTATCATTTTATCATCATTATCACCATCATATTATTTATGGTCATCATCATTATCGTCATCGTTGTCATTATCACTATCATCTTTAGGTGAGACAATTTTTATTCCTTGTTTTGCGTACTTATTTTTTTTAAAGATCATCGGAGGAGGAATAAAAATGAAAATAAAATTTTGTTTTCTTATTCATCAAATAGGTTTGCCAAAAAAAGGAGGAGAAAATAAAAATAAAATTTTATTTGGGATTTTAAAGTAGGATGGTTAAATGCTTCAAATTTATATAATTAGGAAGAAATAAACATAACTTGTCTTTGGAGATTTCAAGGCAGCATAGGGCATAATAAAAATAATAATAATAATTTTTCTGAAATTTCCACTTTTTTGTGGCGCTAATTGGTCAAAAATAAAATTTTATTTTATTTGAAATCATCAATATTTGCAGTCGGCGGGTTCACTAAAGAAGGTATAAAGAAAGTCTCGCCATATCATCATCATCATCATTATCATCATCATCATAATAATGATTATCAATATCATCATTAACTTTGTTTTCTTTTTTTGTTAATTCATAATGCAAAGTGGTAAATGTATTGAGGTCTTAAAACTCATATTTCCTAAAATTTTAATCTTTTGCTGATTATTATTATTTTCAAACCAAGAAAGTCAGCAGCAACTCTTAAATTGTTATCTGTTATTCTATTGCAATTGTACGTAGTGAAAAAGCACTAATTGTAAAATGCTACCATGTTCTATAAGTAGCCAAAACGGCCAAAATTGCTTATTATAATTTTTCAATTTCCATGCAAGAAAGCTACTGCAACTCTAATATTTGTTATCTGTTATTCTATTGCATTTATACTTAGTGAAATAAAATGTAACAGGCTATAACGTTTACTCTATAATAAGTGGTCACATCACAACTAACAGAAGCTTTTAAACTATACTAGAAAAATGTGTTTTGATTAATTTGACAGTCTGTCTATTAATGAATATTTCTAATTATCAATCTGTGTATATTTATGACCACATTTGTACATCACTGTAAGAAAGCTAGCATTTTCCATTCCAGGCAGCAAAATATGTTCTGGTAATGGTAAAATTGTAAGAGACTTTTAAATAGAAAAACAAAAAAATGCTTTTTTTGCTAAAAGTATAGTTTTGTGTGGATGTGTTTGTGTCTATATGCTCTTTATATTGATCTATCTGCATCTACTACTGTGTCTATATCTTTTTGTCTATCTACCTATGTGTGTGTCATCTATACATTTATCTATTTGTAAACTATTATTTTATACAAGCTTATTAAGTATTTATTGCAAGTATTTATGTTCTATGGTCAGAATAGAATTTCTAAGACAAATAACATATTTTATAATAATTTTTGTTTCTAAAGTGCAATTTAGAATAATACTAAGGTCGGATATGTTTTACTATAATTTGTTATCTCAATTTTATTTTGATGGTTTTCAATGTTTTTAGTATATCTTCAATATACTACAAATTTATTTTATTGGTTCTATACCCAGGTCTGGTGTATATCTCTTTGCATCTATCAGCAAGAGAACAATTGTAAACCTTTTCTTAACAAACAGTACATACCATATCATTCACCATGACTGATAGAAACCCAGGCATAGATTGTCCAAATTTTATCTCTCAGACTTTTCAGTGTTTAATCAGACTTAAGTAGAGTCTAAATTCCAATAATCATGGAAAGGTAAGCTTTGTTTGATGAAGTACTGTATTTCTAAGAGGACGGCACACTACACTGTAGTCTGTCTGATAAAAATTTTGTCTGGCTATACAGGCACATTGCATGTTTGTACATGTTGATGTTGATACATTTACCTAATCAGCGTATATTTAATATGATGGTATAATTATATGATAAATCATACAAATATGTATAGTGCATACTCACACTTAGGTATACATACAACCATATGTGTGTAATCGTGCACCATACATTGACAAGTAATATATTTATTACAAATGTGTTATTTAAAATTCCATCCCGAAGGGTCAAGGTTAAGAAACCTTAAGACTTGGCCCTCATCACAACAGCAGGTTCCTCTAATATGAGCTGTTGATGAAACAATCTACTTTAATTTAAGGGGAAATATGTTGTGTTTTTAAAAAAAAAAAAAAAAAAAAAAAAAAACCATTATAATTGCTGTCTTAAATATAGCATACTGTCGTTAGTAAAAATTGAGAAAAATGAATTGAATGAAAAATCCAATTAAACCATTGGATTGCTTATTTATATGATATCATCTTCTAAAGACAATGGTAAGTTTTTTTAGTCTTTTTGCTATGGATAAGAGTATATGCAAAGAATTTATGAAGAGTATTCATTATGCAATGGTATTTAGTGTGAACATTGTTTTTTCATTAAAAAAGTTATAAAATTAATATTAATTAAGTATATTTATCTTGATTTGCCTTGATATCAAGTCTTGTGGTCTCATTAGTTGAATCTTTTCAAAAGACGTCTACTAAAACCAAAAGGTCCACTGATTAATCTCAGATAAGAGAGTATAATACATACTCCAAGTATCTGTCTACTAAGGGTATAAGGTAATAATACCCAATTCACATGTACACAAAATGTAACCATTTTATACTAGTCTAGTTTTCTGAGATATTACTGAGTAGTAGTATTGCTAAAGCAGATATATTTTCATAATTATCGTGGGTAATTAATTTTGTATTGTGGTGCAAGTTATGAATAAAACACTGACTAAAAAATCTAGATATTGCATCCTGTAATCTTTACCATCCTTTTCAAGGCATGTAAAGATTACGAGATATTACAGGGAAACTATTTATATTATTACAAGGGACCCTTATGAAATCTCAGAAACTTTACAAAGATTTATAAAAGAAAACGCTTTCACACACAGCGATCCTTGATCAAACAACATGTTATAAATTTTATTGGGTCAAAGCAAGGCAATTAGTAAATTTTATTGTACAACTTTATAACACAGTATCTCTTTAAGCTATAGACTTCCTCAATTTTGCTCTTTTTTACACTAACAAATTAATTAATTTAAATTTACTGTAATATTTCGTTGTTTTTGTTTATACTTTCGTTTTGTTAATAGCTGTTTACCTTCACTTCAGTATTTATGATTTATTGGAGTTAAATTTTCGTGGTTTTTGGTGAAGCTTTGTCGAGACTACAGTATCAAAATTTGTTGTCACAAATAAATGATTTTTCCATATTTGGGTGTAATATAATATAAACAGCATCATGTCCATATATGGGTTCATTAATTATACAAATTTGTCACATAAAATTTGATAGTGTGGACACAACTTATGTGATTATTTAGATTAAGGGATTAAAATTAATTGAATATTTAGATTAAGGGATTAATATTAAGTGATTATTTAGATAAAGTGATTAATATTAAGTGATTATTTAGATTAAGTGATTAATATTAAGTGATTATTTAGATTAAGGGATTAATATTAAGTGATTATTTAGATTAAGTGATTATTTAGATTAAGGGATTAATATTTATTAGATTATAAGAAGAAAATTAGATTAAGGAATAAAAATTATTTAGATTAACAAAACCTGCTTTTGGGGTTTTTCATTCTTGCAATATGTATGAATATGGAAATTGTTTTTCTAGATAATAAATTTGCATGCAAGAGTCTTGAATACATTTTAACATTTTAATTAATATATTTTTGTTTGCAAGCTTATTGATAGTTGTGGATTTTTCAGGAGCATGTGGTAACAGTGGGTCTGTTTCCTCTAACATAATGTAATATATATTTGGACGATTCAAATTTAATAAAATATACAAGCTTTTTTGCAGTGAATTTTTTTTGCAAACAAATATGATAATAAGATGTTTATCTCATTCCCAATACAAATAAGACATGGAAATGCTATATTTATTCTGGAATGTTTAGTTTTATATTTAAAAATATAATATAAAAATGAATACAAAAAAATGACAGTACATGATTTAGTATTTCAAACAAACTTGTTGAATTTTTGAATAAATTACTGTTCAATCTGACTTGCTTTATTGTACATAGGTACCAATTTTCTTTAGATTAATAATTTATTGGTATTGGTAGACCTCATAGAATTAGCTATTTATCAACTAAAACATCTCATTTATATAGAACAGTAAATATGCAGTTTATTTTCATGTTCAGTTTTTGTTATCGATGTGTGGAATCAAGAAATATAACTACAGTACTATAATGTCTACTGTATTTGTTTTTATAAAGTTGTTCAAGGTAATCTATGACTCATTATTACTAATTACTATGTAAATTTATAAAATAGCAAACAGCTATGATATGTAACATAAATAAAAAAATATATAAAAAAGCTCATAATAATGCTACAGCAGTTGGCATTACAAGAACATTTAAAGAAAAATTGTGTAATGGTGTAAAATAATTTATAACATTCTTATTGTTTTGATAATTCGTATAAAGCCATTGAGTATTTCCAAGAACCCACGCACTGTAGTGTTCAGAGGTCCCTTTATAGAGTGCTTCACAAATTTTAATCATGTTTGTCAGATTGTGTTGATTGATTGATTGAAATATGTCTCCATCCTTCGGTAAATGTACCTATTTTAATACTAATTAGATACTGACAAGACATTTTACATTATATTTAAGTGTTTTTTCTACCTGTTGATGTGTGTAACCTTAAGTTTCATTTAAAATTTCCTTATGACAACAATTAAACACATACAATCGTGTTTGTGTGTTGAGGTCAGAGGTACCATACCTAGTTGTTAAGTAGTTTTGATAAATCAGAAATCATTTAAAATCAGTTAAATTTGATAAACATCAAATGTTTAAGAGTGAACAAAAACTGATATCATCATATTCAGAAACTGATATACTGATAAATTATGGGATAGCAACATTTATTTTACAAAGACATTTTGTTAAATTTTTTATGAAGGTTTTTTTTCTATCCTATAAATTTAAAGTATTTCAATTGATTCTGATATTGCATATCATATAGTACAAAAAAATGTTGGATTTGTATGTTGAAGTAGTGGTGCATGCTATTTTAATCTATTTTAGGTTATTCCTTACCATAGCTAATTAACCATTTCACTAGGCCTATTGGATATTGTTTTCTAAGGTCCTACAAAATGACAACCTAACCATACATAAACATGTATGCTTGTGAGACAACGTGTCAAACAAGATGATAATTCTGGTGTCAGACAAGATGATAATTCTGATTGGTCATTTATTAAGTTTTTCGTGTTCATTGTTAAGCAAAGGTATTATAAATCAAGAAACTGTGAATTGTTAATTAGAATTTGTACCATTACCAAACAGCAAAGGGTCATTTTTTTAGAATGATATCGTATTTCAACAGCCCAGAAATTTTGACTACAAAATACAATTACTGTAAATGAAATACCATCTCTCATTTTTTAAAATTCATTTTTTAACTATTTATTACAGACTTTGAATTGGTTAGTAAATAAACCTTATCCAGTTAATATACTTGAAAATTGGAATAGTAGCTAGAGATTTTTTTTCAATGACTTTGGGGTGCCTTAAAACTAATGTGTCTTTACCACATAATTAGTTTTTTTAAAAGATTTATTGAGAAATGGAGTAGTCCCCCATTAAGATAATTTGCAGACATTAATTTGCAGGGGGAAAATCGATCAGCTTAGGCTAGATGGACCACCCTCACAAAATATTGTTTAAATAAGACATGAACAAAATATATTTTTGCAAAATGTATTGTCATTAGTTTTAACCCAAATGCAAATACAATTCAGTTTCTGTACATCATATTTCTCATCTTAGTTCATAGAACAACCAAACGGTAGGATGTTGGAGTAGTATCCTGTCTAGGGCAATACTTTCTCCTCAAACATTTAACTACCATATTATTATTGAAGCATATATAATATGAGAAGTGTAGACAAAAGGCCAAGAATTAGGAAACATCGTTACGGGAGGCTAATGTAATTGGGCATGTTTTTCATGTTGGTTTTAGTAGCAGTCGCTATAAAATAACTTATGGCACCATCTTGCGACTCATTTTTCAATGTGTAATTGTTCCACTATTATTTTTGTTAAATATAGGGATGTTAATTTAATAATTTAACCCATAATAATAATAATAATAATAATTCTGGATTTATATAGCGTCTCACGTTGACACAACCTCGAGGCGCTTAACAACAACAGAGAAGAATAAAAATTAATTAAGTTCAAATGATTGGTTTGATGATTATCAATAAATGTTATTATTACAACCCATACCCACTCTAAAAAGTATTTTGTATTCTAGATTATTATTTCAGGTATTTAAATACAATCATGCTTTAGCGAAAACATTGTGAATATACATAGAAGTCCATAAAATCACTGGTTTATATTTTCAAGTACTAAGCCTTTTTGAAAGTAACATGGTTTGGTTTGGTTTATTACATTTAAAAGGCTTATGCCATTTAATTTTCCAGACACATCTATGGATGTAGCAGACTTAAGGTGTGTAACAATTTTGTGGTGATAGAAAAGTCCATAACTATTTATGGTTTAAAAATCAAAATTACGTTTTTTGAGTCTTTTTTCAGGACTCTTCAAAACAATGTGTGAATTTGTACTATGTACTGCACAGGAAATTTAGCAGGACATTATTATTATAATTAATTTTTCTATAATTTAGTAAATTTTTAATTTTTGGAAATATATAAGTTATTTAGGTTTATAGAATATGTTATGTCATATCATACAAATTTTAAATAATTAAAATGGTGTCATGGTTTTTTTTCACATAACATTACTATGATACCACTTTGGAGTATAAATGTTTAGTTATTAACAAACCTGCCAATTGAATTGAAACAATTTGTTGTTTGTCACATAGTGCAGTATTCTATAGTCTATTACTTGTTTAACCAAATTTCTGTTGATGAAAAACTGTTGAAAATGCCTGACTCTTTAATTAATGTAATATTTTATTATAATACCAAATATCTGGTATAAAATATTCAGTAAAAGAATAATGTTTATAAATAAAGCAAGATCAACTGTTGAAATTCAGTTGTGACTAGGATCAGTTTGAATATCATTTGAGTACAGTACTGCATAGGTTTAAATCCATCCAATCCAATTCATACTATAATACCATCCAAGAGAATTAGGAATTGGTTTAAGACTGGTGGAACAGTATACTATAGCAAAAGCCTTAGCTTCAAAGTAAAGATCACAAGAGGTAAACATACGTAACTTAAGGACAACCAAAATCAAAACTAAATATCTTCATTGCTTAGAAATTAAGTACAGTATTGTTAAGTACTGTATAAGCAATGCATTTCATATCTGTAGACCTTTATGTTTAAGACTATAACGTTTTTATAGTGCCTGTTAGGGGAAACAAATTTCTGGTGCTTAAAATATAATTCTTCATTAAAGAAATGAGTTTTAAGGAGAGTCTTTAAATGCATCAGCAATAGAAGTTAGTCTGTTTAGGTGGGAGAGAATTATAACATAAATTTATGTCTAGAATTCTCTTTGAGATGGAGACCAAAGGTAAAATTGTGGTAAATACAGCACTATATATTTTTATAACAATGTTATTTCTTTTCTGATGATGGGCTAAAAGTTCACTAAAACTATCTTTAAAATAATTTAAATTATTCCTTGTTTTAATTGCTTATACTATTATAGCAATCAATAGTTTTTTTTGTGACATATTTAGAGTTTGTAGGCAGGATTTTTATAGCGTACACTTCTTAATTGTATGGAGAGATATTTTTGCCCTGGTTATTGTGATCGTCGTCTTAATATTGAATTATTTTATTGAGGTTTACTGAAAAATTGTACTTAATTTACAACTATTGTTTTATATGCACAAACAGAGATTTATTTATTTTATAATTAGATAAAAATTTGGATATAGACCTTTATATTTATGTATCAACATTAAGAGGTGATGGGTGTGTAAGCAGTATCTCTTAGGGATCGTGGACAACAATACTTGAATTTCATAGTCCTCTCGCTTAATGTTATTTTTTATTTTTATTGTATTGTTAAGGAGGGTATCAGCCCTTAATTACTTTTAATTATTCCAAATGTTTAGGATTGTATTAATATTTACAGTATTATATGGCAGCATTAATTAAAAGAACATTTTTTTTTTTTTTTTCTTTTTTTTTTTTGTTAGAATACTTACACAAATCATACAAGTTTGGTAACATCATAATTGAATAAAATTTAGAATAAGATAGATTGCAATTATTAAATTCCTTTTTCACACATAGACACTGTCACATACATTATTGTAGGTAAATAGCTAATATATTTGATTAAATTGAAATTCAACTTTCTGTGTTTACAGAGAAAATATTTGTTGTTATTGTTCGCACAGTATAAAAGTATATTTTTCCAAGATTACTTAAAATAGTTCTAATATGTGATTGAGTTTTCAATTTGTGATAATTCTGTTCTTTGATATTTTAAAACTTGTAAATATTGGTTATACAGTACTGTGAAGGCAAATCTTTTTGTGTGTTTGTGAAAACAGTAACTACACCCTATTTTACATTATTTGATTTAAACTTCTTTCTTCATTTGGGTCACCTTATTTGTTTGTTATAAAATTCAGTTCTATCTGTTTATTAAATTATTGCCATTTTTATTAGTACTGAAAATATATTATCATCATAAAAAATTATTTTTTATTAGTGTTCATAGAGGGTGCTAACTGCATTATTTTTTCTATACACTATGATCTCTTTTATTGTGTTGGAATAATTGTTGTTACGTGTAGCAAAGGTTTGTCTCTGTCCTGAAATGATGAAAGGAACTGCTAAAGTATAAAATAATGTTCATAACAAGTTACTAGTGATATGCAAGTTGTATATGATAAGGTATTCTGGTTTTAAAACTTGATTTGTTTACAGGATTTGTTATTTATAATTGTATATAATGTTTAAGGTATTCTGGTTTCAAAACTTGACTTGTTTACAGGATTTGGTATTTATAAAGCTACTACAATGTTATAAATATTTTTAACTCTGTGGTATTTAATTTAATTTAATTTAGCCTTGACTTAATTAGCAAATAACCTTTTGAATTCTTATTGTTTCTTGGCAGGTTTTCAAGTTAACATCACTGATGGTAAAGACTTTGTAAAAAAAAACTGTTTTGAACTTTTACTAAAAAATTAAAAATTAATGGGATAATTAGTTGAAATGATTGGGTTGAACAGGAAAAACCAACTACTATTACTGAATGAAAGTGGTATTTTTATCCAGAACCTCAAGTTTTAATAGAACATTGAAGAGGAGTTAATACATTTTTATGGCCAATGAAGACATGAAACACAGTGCAAATATCAAGAAAGAAGCTTGGTGAACCAACAAGAAACTGTTTTAATTGTTGCAGAGCGCCACCAACTTCCCATTGTTCAAGAACACCACCAACTTCATGTTGACCAAGACCATCATCTACTTCATATTGATCAAGAGCGCCGCCAACTTTTTCAGAACTGTTTTGCAATCTCTGTATATAATATGATGTCTTTTTTTTTTCATTTCCTATAGATAATGTAGGAACAACCATTTTTTATAAGAAAATCTTCCTTTGTGAAGGTTTTAGTTTGATCGTGTTAGTATAGCCATTTGTTATAAGTAAAAAACGTTGCATGACGATACATTATTATCGATGCTTGAAATAATGAAATTTCTATAAAATATTCTGTCGTTTATGAAATCTATATTCTTTTATCTTCTTGTCAGTTAATTCTTTTTTCCCTTCTACATTAACTTTCAGTAAATTAAAAATTGGAATAATTACCATTACATAATATTTGCATAAATAATATGTGTTTAAATAACTTTCATTATTCATAATTAAAACATATTAAAACAATTTAAAACTTCATGATAAAGTATAAACATTGTTTTTAAACTCTTTTCTTGTGAATATCCGTAGTTAGTATCAATTGGTTATTAAAAGTACAGTTTAGTGGGTAGATAATTATTTGTATAATTGTATTTTTTTTTCATGGTGCAGTGTAGTTGTCAGAATTATTAATTAGTGAGTGATTAATTGATTGATTGATTGACAAGTCTGTTACAAATGCCATACCTTACCAGAAAAGAAGCTTATGGTAATTGAGTTCATTTTATTGCTATTAATCAGTATTGATTTTAGTCATTGTTTACTAATGATGCTACCAGCAAAATTGTTTGCCACAAAGTAAGCAAAAAACTTGACGTTTTTCATAAATAATAGTTATATTCAATATACAGCTCCTACTGTTGTTGTTTTAGTTAAGGGCTGTGACCGGAGGACCTATGTGGCCCCTTGCTGAACCCCTGAAGTCGCCACTTATTTTAATCAGTTATTTTTATACACGCTTTTTTAATTTAACTGGAAATGGTGAAACATTAATGACAACACAATTAAAATGGTATACATTCTTAATAAAAATACAGATAAGCTTTAGAACGATTTAGACAGGCCACGTCACATTTTTAAAACTGTTGCAGTAATAAAAGGTAAGTTGTACTGAATCAGATAGCAAAAATGAGGCGGGAGGAAGGTTTGATGAGGGGGAAGGCCTGATGAGGGGGAATATTTCGTCAGGTAAGTAGAAGTGAGTATACTTTTTGTATTGGTGTGTTTATATAATTTTTATTGATTGGTCGTGGATTGTATTCCTGCAGCACTAGAAGAGCTATATGGCCCATCACGTCAACAGTATGATTTGGGGAATATATATGGTGTACGTTATTGATTACATCTGCTCAATAAGAAAAACACTATACGAATGTTCATTAAAATTCATCTGTGTTGGTAGTTTAATGTTGAAACTCTTATTAAATCCAACGTACAGTAATAACATTTTCCCTACCTTGGAATTTTGAGGTAGAAATTTAATCATGTTGGGTTTAAGTTTTAAAATTGAATTGCCATAAAACTTGGGGTTGAAAATTCAGTTTTTTTGTACGCTTCCGAAATTGTTGATGATTGTGAATGGCGCCCCACTTCTCCACTAACAGAAACACCATAAATATGGTGTTGCAGAATCAAATTTTATGTACTGTACATTTTTAGTGAGGGCAAAGGGTAGAAAAGGAGAATACTGATTGGTACACTGGTGGAAATGTTTATTGCTAGTTTTCCCGTAAATAATCAAATTGCTGTAGTGCAAAACAATAGCAATTAAGGTTGTTTTGCTAACTCTGCTCTTGCATTTAGCTTAGATAGGTGTTCTAATTTGAACCGGCATTGTAGCGTTTAATTGAGAGTAATAACATATACAGTAGTATTATCTATCAATTTTCTACGATATAAACACTACTGGTACTAACATTTTGAAGTCTGATAAAACCTGTGTATAATCTTTTGATTCAGCGCTTCACTGAAACTGCCAAATATTTGTAAATGTAAATTTAGTTGAACTTAGTTTAGAGGGAGTAGGAAATCCTGAACCCCACATCAGATGAAGTAGCCAGCCATTTCGTCGAGAACACTGCTTTAAAAGTGAATTTTTACACTTTGTGAGTGCCTTTTCCGGGCATCTAGAGGTGCACAAATTTAAAGTTTACCTTGGTTGATATGGACGTCTTGCATGGGACCTTTGACCTTTTTTTAGTAATCTCTGGTGCCACCACAGGTAGCACATTTATACCGAACACTGCATTGATGTTCGCTGATGGTTTACAAGTTACATAGGTAATAATTGAACCCAAATTTTATCAAGCTTTCTTTGCTGCTGTAGTGTTTTATCCATTAGTTACCATCTGAAGTCCAGCAAACTTTAGTGTAGTTTAAAATTATACCCTTTAAATTTTTCCTTTACAAATCATGTGAAATGTGACAAAAGAAAGAGTTTTTAATGACTCGATTGAAATAAACAACTGTACAGTATCACATTGAGTTTGTATTTCATTTCAGTTAGTGACTTTCATATGTTGTGTATGAAGGTTTTTAAATGCAGTGGTGTATCTAAGAGTCTTGGATTCAATAATAATAATAATAATTCAATGAGACTAATTAAAAATAATTTGCGTTCTGTTATGACAAATGCTCATTTAGATAGCCTCATGATGGTTGGAATACATCGTGATAGGTGAAGCAACCACGACCATGACAACGTGGTTGACAGATTTCATGCAAAATTTCGAAAATATAGAATTTCACTTTCAAAAATGAGGATTTGAAAATAAATTAGATGGTTACATTGCATACCTGTCTCTTATACACATCTAGATGTGTATAAGAGACAGCCCATGGGGGGGTCTTATATAGTAGCAACATGATAAAATCAAGCAAAGAGAGACATGAATGTAACCAACTAGGAATTACTATTTGTACATTGTAGAATGCTGAAACACCGATGACAGCAATTTTTTCATGTACGTGACCCTAAACAGTGACATTAAAGGCCACGCCCAAATGACAATTATCATGTGAAGAGAGACACGGATGATTTTTTTTTATTGGCACTATTATATATTGGGGGTAACGTAAGTACCAATGACAGCAACTTTATCCTGTACATAAGCCCAGACAGCAGCCCTAGGTTCCCAAATGGACTTATTATTTATAGCATAGAGAAAATAGAACAGAACATTTTCTCTATGTTTATAGTATGATATGGTCGAATCTAATAATGATTAGAGATAGTAGAATGCAGCTGAAACACCTGATTATGACACAGACAGTGGTTCTGGAGATCAACTTCAGAATAAAACAGGAATTAAGTGAAAGATGGGACCATTTACACTGGAACTTTTAAACATTGGAAAGAAAATTCAATTGACAGCAATTATTTACTAATTAGCTATAGATTTCTGTTTGATAACATTTTGTTAAACACTGACTTCAGATGAAATACAACAATACCATAATACAAACTCAGTAACAAATATTTATTAGATCGGATTAAACCACAGAACATGAATTGTCTATACATGATAAATGGTACAGCGTCAAGGTGTATTTCAATCAGATTGTTGAAAAATATGTAATCATAGGATTAGAACCTGGTAGCACTTTATTGACTAACATTATAAAATGTATTAACTTTTGACAGCAGTCTCTTCTAGTTACAGATGTAACAGCATTATACTATAGTTAGTCAATAAAGTGATACCAGTTTTGAATTTTACATTGCTTCTTCTACTATTACAACAAATGTGTCCACCATATGGATTATGGATTCATTGTAAATCAAGTATCTATATGATTTTAATATATTGCATACACAATTGAACTGCGGTATTGTACACTGTGGTAACAATGTGTTTGTAGCAGTACGATACAAAGCACAAGCAAGAAACACTTAACTAATAGTTAAATTATTCCCCGCTGGAGGACACCATCCCGGTATTTCTGAGTCTAGGTTTCGGGGCTAGAATTTATGGAAATACTTCCATTTTGTCCTGCATTTGTTAGAAAACAATAAATACTTAAAAACTTAAACTGAGGTATTGTGCATTGAGGTAATAACATGTTAAAAGCTGTACTAAGCAAAAACAAGAAACACTTAACTAATAGCTAAACTATCCCCCGCTGGACACCATCCCGGTATTTCTGAGTCTAGGTTTCCGGGCTGAAATTTTATTGAAACTAATTTAATTTTTCTACATTAGTAAGTATAAACAAATAAACGCTTATAAAATTAAAAACGGAGGTATTGTACATTGCGGTAACAATGCGTTTTAGCATTTCAATATAGTAGAGCGACTAAAGTTGAATTTCAGGTAGAATCGTGCACTTCTGGAAGAAAGCATGAAACTTCCCCATAGTGATACTATGACACCTAAAGGTCATTAAAAAAAAAATAGACCCCAAAAGATAACGCCTCCTAATGGCCACCATCTTGAAATCCAATATGGCCACCAAAATAATTGATTTTAGCCAATATATTCATACCTACAGCACATGTCATTGCCAATTGAAGATCATTACCCATTTTTTCAATATCAAGGAGTGTAATGCAATAATCAGAAATTATGTTAGATGGCGCCGCCATATTGGATTTCAAGATGCCCCCAAATTAATGATATTTTTTCAATATTCATATCTACAGTACCTAGCACTGTCAATCAAAGACCGTTGCACATGTTTTCCATAACAGGGACTACCATACAGTCATCAGAAATTATGTCAGAAGACCACCATATTAAATTTCAAAATGGCCGCCATCTTGAAATTTAATATGGCCGCCAAAATAATTAATTTTAGCCTATGTATTCATATTTACAGCACATATCACTCCAATTGAATATCATAATAGATCAGCTTGTGAGTTAACCCAATAAAACCTACTGGAAAATGTTCGGCATAGTACAAGAATGGCCACTACCAGACATTCTTAATGGTGGAAATAATATTTCCACTCTTTGCCAGATTATTTTTAGCTGATGCAGTAAAACTTAAGTAGGATATATAGACCGACCAGGAAATAGGTGTGCTATTTATAGTACAAAAAAGTACTCAATGTTAAAAAGAGGTTTCCTGGTTTTTTTTGTGTGTGAACACGGAAGAAAACTTATTAAAATCACGTTTCTTCAATGAGTCTTTTGGCTTCATTAGTATTTCAAATGCAATCAAGCGTCAATCAGTTAATTGATTGGATAAAGCTTTTTATTATCGGCACACATTTATGATGTAACCTTGCAAAACAAAAACAAAAGCATAATAAACAAATAATGTGTTCCACCTTACAAAATAGGTAAACTGATGAAAACATTCAGTTGGAAAACCAGGAGGAAAAATACAACGGAAAATACTGGGACAAGACAGCCGGGGGGATATAGCAGTTGGAAAACAGCCTTAAGAAATAGCCTGGAAAAATAGCTGGATGGAAAAGAAATCTTCTAGTGGAAAAAATCCGAGGCGAAAATTAGGTGGCAAGTGCCATAGTGGTATTTTCTTTGAATTAAAACCTAAAACCTCTTCGATTTTGAGTCTATACTCTGTCTTCAAATCTTCCCTGGGGAGAGAGAAAGATGCAGATATTAAAAATCATCTATATTAAAGCTAGTTTTAGCATAAATGAAATATGTAAACATAAATCAAATATTAAAATTAATGGTGTGAAGACACTAATATCGAATAGACCTCATGCCTATGAGATGGCTAATTATCATTTTCAAATGGTATATAAACACATATGTAAATATTGAAAGGAAAAGAAACAGAAAATTAAAGAAAGAAAAATAAAGAATGGAAAGGAAAAGAAAAAACTGGAAAGGAAAAGAAATAAAAGAATAGAAAATGAATATAATGGAGAAAGTGAAAAGAAATAAAAGAAAAATCAAGAAAAGTATATATAAGATAACTTTAGCATAAATGAAATTATGTAGACATAAATTAAATATCACATTCAAGTAATGGTATGAAGGCAATAATATCGAATAAACTAAATATCATTTTCAAATATGCATACTTATATAATATATATATAATATATGTGTATGTATGTATATAATAAATTTTTGTGTGTAGCACTCTGTTTATATAATTAAATAACGGTGTAAACAGAGCTCGAATAAATGGAGAGTGATGTGAGTATCGTATCGGAAATAGCCTCTCAAAAAAAAAATTCCTTATACTGTTTGTTTGCCAAAGAATACTCTAGAAGTCATACCCGTATTATAATGAAGTAACATAGAATCAATGTTGCTGCGTAGCATTGTGGTATAACTAATCAAATAATGACAGAAACAGTGCTAAATGCACTCAAACTGCATGCAAATGCACCCAAACTTTGATGTTTCCATTGAATTTCCAAAATCCTCAAAGCACTGCTTTTACACCAATTTATTCTCAGTTTAATGTTACTTTTTTTACATAATCGGCGTCTGCCCGTAAACAAAATAAGATGTTTTCTAGCCAATGTTGCTTGGCAGGCCGCACACATAGGGTTTTTAATTTATTTTCGCGGGCCGCACTTTGCCCACCTGTGGTATATGTATACACGAATAAAACATTTTGTATTCGACTGTCTAGAAACGTTTTTGCATCATATAATAAACAAGTAGATCAAAAACATTATTGATAAAAATCCAATATTTTGGTGGCCATTCTAAATTTCCAGATGGCGGCCACTAAGCGGATTATTTTTTGGGGTCTATTTTTTTTTAATGATCCTTAGGTATCATAGTATCACTGTGGGAAGTTTCATGCTTTCTTCCAAAAGTGCACGATTTTTTTCCTTAGCCGCTCTACTAATACAAAGTACAAACAAGATACAAACAAACATGTTACTACAAACATGTTACTACCTCAATGCACAATACATCAGTTTAAGATTTTACGTATTTATTGTTTTCTAACAAATGCAGGACAAAATGGAAGTATTTCCATAAATTCTAGCCGCGAAACCTAGACTCAGAAATACAGGGATGGTGTCCGGCTGGGGATTGCTTAACTATTAGTTAAGTGTTTCTTGCTTGTGATTTGTATCGTACTGCTACAAACACATTGTTACCACAGTGTACAATACCGCAGTTCAATTGTGTATGCAATATATAAAAAATCATATAGATACTTGATTTTACAATGAATCCATAATCCATATGGTGGACACATTTGTTGTAATAGTAGAAGAAGCAATGTAAAATTCAAAACTGGTATTGCTTTATTGACTTAACTATAGTATAGTATAGTATTTTATAATGTTAGTCAATAAATTGCTACCAAGTTATAATCCTATGATTACATATTTTCAACAATCTGATTGAAATACACCTTGACGCTGTACCATTTATCATGTATAGACAATTCATGTTCTGTAGTTTAATCCGATCTAATAAATATTTGTTACTGAGTTTGCTGTATTGTTGTATTTCATCTGAAGTCAGTGTTTAACAAAATTTTATTATCAAACGGAAATCTATAGCTGAAGTAGTAAATAGTTGCTGTCAAATGGATTTTCTTTCCAATGTTTAAAAGTTCCAGTGTAAGTGGTCCAATCCTTCATTAAATTCCTGTTTTATTCTGAAGTTGATCTCCAGAACCACTGTCTGTGTCATAATCAGGTGTTTCAGTTGCATTCTACTATCTCTAATCATTATTAGATTCGACCATATCACATATAAATAATAAGTCCATTTGGGAACCTAGGGCTGCTGTCTGGGCTTATGTACAGGATAAAGTTGCTGTCATTGGTACTTATGTTACCCCCAATGTATAATAGTGCCAATAAAAAAAAATCACCCGTGTCTCTCTTCACATGATTAATGTCATTTGGGCGTGGCCTTTAATGTCACTGTTTAGGGTCACGTACATGAAAAAATTGCTGTCATCGGTGTTTCAGCATTCTACAATGTACAAATAGTAATTCCTAGTTGGTTACATTCATGTCTCTCTTTGCTTGATTTTATCATGTTGCTACTCTATAAGACCCGTGTGGGTACCTTGGGGCTGCTGTCTGGGCTTATGTACAGAATAAAGTTGCTGTCATTGGTATTTTTGTTACCCCCAATGTATAATAGTTCCAATAAAAAAAAATTCATTCGTGCCTCTCTTCACATGATTAAATGTATTTGGACGTGGCCTTTAATGTTACTGTTTAGGGTCACGTACATGAAAAAATTGCTGTCATCGGTGTTTTAGCATTCTACAATGCACAAGTCGTTATTCCAGTTGGTTTCATTCATGTCTCTCTTTGCTGGATTTTATCATGTTGCTAATATATAAGACCCCCGTGGGTTCCTTGGGGCTGCTGTCTGGGTTTATGTACAGGATAAAGTTGCTGTCATTGGTATTTTTGTTACCCCAATGTATAATAGTTCCAATAAAAAAAAAATCATCCGTGTCTCTCTCTACATGATTAAATGTATTTGGGCGTGGCCTTTAATGTCACTGTTTAAGGTCATGTACAGGTAAAAGTTGCTGTCATCTGTGACATTATTGCAAGTATCTACCTGGGAGTAATATCCAATTATTTTTATCCATGTCTCTCCACATGATTAAATACATTATTTAAGCCCCTATTTCATTTCCCCCAGCCCGCTTGTACAGAATGTGCCCCGGCAGCAATACTGAATACTGTATCTTGGCCCTATACTATCATGACCAGACCATCAAACCTTTTGTCTCTTTTCACATGATTAAATTTTCTGGGCTTCCGGTTTATATAGCCATTGAAATGTAAACAAGAAACCCATTACAATCACTCACTTAATAAAATATCCGTAGCTTGGCCCCCTATACTAGATGCTCGCTTCGCTCGCATATTGGACCTTATGAAATGGCCCCCTACTTTCAAGAACATTCCACCGCCCACTGTTTAAAAGCACAATGGAAATATCAAATTTCCTCCATAAAAATGCAATGTTTCTATTCACTTTTGCTTGAACAAAATTAAGATTGATACCAACTAAAAGCAGAGGAACCAAGTGCTCCGTTTGTTAGCGCTTTGAAGGCTTCTAATATTAAGATCTTACCGGAATATAACTCTCAAAAATGAAATCTGATTATGATTTTGAAAGAGAAAACAGCTTGATAAAGAAATTGCATTTATAGTAGTACTGTACAGTTAAACTTGCCTAAGTCGACCTAATTTTACATGCCAGATTGTTGTGTTTTCCATTAACGATCTGCAAGTCAAATTTTATCTAACAATTTTTTCAATGGAATTTTGGATTCGACTTAGTAATGTATAAAATGCATCAGAAGAACATAAGTACAAAGGGAATATAAAAGCCACTAGACTATTGAATGCCATTATACTGTACTGTGCACCAGAAACTATTTCCACACAAAAAAAAGACAACAAATAACATCACAGTAAATGTTCAAAATCTAGGATGTTAATGCTGTTTTGCTTTTGTTGGCTCTTTGTATCGACACATATTTACTTATTGTTATGTAACGCTTGTCAATAACTAATACACTGTAGCACACAGGTGTGGAAATAGGCTGTATTCCAGGCCCTAACTTTGGGTTACTCTCTCTGTATTACGCTTAGTGCATCTCATACTTGATTGTTGGTGGCGCTGTCCAGAATGAAAAAAAAGAGTAGTAATAAGGGACTTGTGGAAAGTTTCATTTCATTTATTCATTAACAATTAAATAGACAAAAAGCATAAATATAAAAATACAATGATGAAAAGGACAACCAAAAAATACTCAGAAAAGCTTATAAATTAAGGTGTGCGAAGTAAAGAAAAAAAGATAAAAGGCCAAGTAAAAAACAATGACCAATGCCAATAACAGCAAGTAAAATAAGTAAATTGAATAAGGAAACACTCAACACTACACACACAATGCCAAAAGAAAAAGCAAATAGGTGAATAAATATATAATTTATATTTCTTTAAGAATATAAATAATAATTATGATGGAAGTGCAGCCAGACAGCAATCTTTTGCAGTGTGTGTAGCCCACTTGTTTTTATGTCCCTGCACAGCATTATTAAAACTGAGCAGAGCATGTTTTTAAAGTCAAAATGGAATTGTTAAACCCTGCTGCAGCAGCCTATGTAAAAGTGAATGTTGTGATACCACTTAAATTAGACAAATTCATCCAAACAAGTTTTTTTTTTTTTTTTTTAGCTCAATTTATTTAACCAAGTATGTTGATTCTGAAAACAATTTATCTGGCATTTTGCAGTTGGTCTTTGTTCAAAAGTCAAGCACCAAAAAGCACCATTGTTAAATTGAAATGAGAGATACGTAAATACTGGCCATTCATTGCACTAAACTCCATGAACAACTGTGGGTTATGAAAGGTTAATATTCTTTACCACTTGACAATACAAGTACAAATTCTCTTATTGAATGTTTTGTGCAAAGTTCAAGATAATACTGTACATAAAAGATTGTTGAATACAGTATAAATAGTAGCAACCAATGGCTTGTTGTGCTGATTGGGACGTAGGCATATTTAAATTTGAGTACCCTCAGTTTACATATTGTGTCAATTATGATTTTCAAGACAATCCCATCAATATTGGAAAAGGCCCAATGGAATACCCTGTTTTCAGGAGGTAGTGTGTATACCATTACTACATAAAAGCGAGGTGCGGTATTATACCTTTGATTATCCAAGGCCCTACTTAATGCGTCTTAAATTCTATTGTACTTTCAAACAAAATCTTTGCATCACAATGCTGGATGGATTGTGTTGCGAGGTAGTACTGTGCATTTTTTGGGTGGTAGTAAGGTACTGTACTGTTCTGTACACACAAATGGCAATATTCTAAACGGTTACTAGACTTGCTTATTCAAATACTGTTTGTATGTTATTAATCTAATCCCTTAAGATACAATGGAATGCCAAATAGCTTGTGATAGAGGTAGAACATGTTCCATCAATTTCTAAGGATTGAATGCAAGGTATTATGTTGTAGGCAAGTATGGTTTTGAATACACAAACCTACCTATTAATATGGCAATATTTAATACTGTACTGTTATTGTGGTATAATTTCTTATGCAAATACAAGTTTAAGTACTTAAGTACCCAAGATGAATACATGTCTATGTAAGGTTTTGTTGGTAGTACATATTATTAAGCTATAAAAAAGCATTGCATTAAATTTTAAAGTCTATACCATACAAAAATAAATTTTACCCACATTCACACCTTCCTGAAATATTGAGAAAGCTAGCAAGCAATTGCAAGCAGTTGCTGGTGGATGTACTTTCCTAATTATTATATGGAAACGACAAAAATTTTTACAAAATACCCAATACAAAAAATAACCAAAATATGCAAGGATTCTCAGATATATATAGTGTATTGCATTCAAGCACACTGATTATTAAGTTTTCATTCCAGCCACAAAGCTCGCATTGTTCAGCTTGAATGAAGTCCACTTGCGCAAACAGCTGAATTGTCTTGGGCGTAGTAGAGTCCGAGTAAGTTAGTCATCGCCAAGAGTTTCCTTATCAAATGTAAATTCGCCTAGCCCAGGCCCGACACGCTTCAGGGTTGCAACGTACTCGGAAAGCTGTTTAATAGCCTCCGTCTGCTCAGTTAAGAATGTTGCTTCAATGAAATCTGACAGCTAGAAATGAGAAATACAATAAGTATTAACCAGAATTTTTAACAGATTTGATATCAATGATCACATTTGTGTTTGTCTTTGTCAGTGGTGTGTCAGTCTGAGAGTGCCAATTCCGGCTATAACCATAAATTTTCTAACCTCAGCCCCAAACATAGTGGGGCTCAGGTGGTACCATCCCTGCGCACCCACACCTCTCTTCCCCTTCTAATGCAAATTCCTGGATCTGCCACTGTTTGGTGGTGTGGAATAACGATGAGTGAATATTGACCAGTAATAGTACTGCTAGAAAAATGAATAATACCAGAAGCCTACTGTATATAAATCTATTAACTTTGTTCTGGTACAAGCCCACCCATTTAACACAAATTTGGGCAATTTTTGAGAGCTGTACTTAATACCCAAGGAATTCTCTTTCCACATAAAAAAAATTAACAATGGCAAATTAAATCTTATCCAAGATGGTGAAAGTCAGCAGAGCTACGCATTCATGCCCTGGGCATCTGCCAGAGGAAAGACTGGTCAGTGGTATGTAAAAGTTAGGCCTACAATTGGGGGGTATATAACCAAATTAGTTTTGATGTTTAGTGCATACAGGCACTATACTGTGAAGTACAGTACTGCATACAATAGTGTATTTAGGGTCAGATAGTTCTGTGCGGTAATAAGAAATCGAGGAGCAGAAGCTAAGGAATGAGGGAATTTTTTTATTTATTTATGTATTTATTATTTTGCTCAGCTGATTTTGAATTAATATTTTTTGCTCAGCAAATTTTTAAACATGAGAAGTGGGAAGTACTAAAATTTTTCCGACAAACAGATATAAAGCCCCTAAATATATACAGTATGTGGTTTATTATTCATGGAGACAGTGATACTGAATACACACACAACAAATTCATATACGTTACAATGTTATTTTGCACAAGAGACGTACATTTTTGTCGCCGTGCTTATCTGCTATTGCATGGAGATCGAGCAGTGACTGGTTCACGTTCTTTTCAAGAGCAAGTGCTACATTCATAGCGTCCGATACGGTCCCCCATTCATCCTTCTCGGGTTTCTACAAAATGCATGAATTGCATATTACCAATCACAAAAACATCAATACAATAAATAAAAAGTAATGATAGAATTTAGTTCACAACAACCAGTAAGCCGGCCCGACTCCCCACTCCTAAATTTTTTTTTAAATTATGAAACAAACGGCGAATAAATGACAGTTATATCTAAACTCAAACTTGGGCCCCCCTCTACGTATTTCAAATTCCTGGATCCGCCGCACAAGGTACAGCGTCGTTACTTTGAGTTGATTAAAATGCAATTTTTATATGTAAACTAAAAACACCTTTTCAGTATCTCGTTATAAACTGCAAAGAATGAATAGAAAAGTTTATCTTTTCAATCTCGTTAACTCACTCGAACATCCTGCAAGACTACTCGGCCACCTCGCTGATTTTGGTAATGCATGAACTTCATAGCGTGTTCCCTCTCTTCATTGGAATTTCTTTGAAAAAACTTGAAGCATCCCTTCAGAGCAACATCATCACTGTCTCTTATACACATCTAGATGTGTATAAGAGACAGGAAATAGGCTGTATTCCAGGCCCTAACTTTGGGTTACTCTCTGTATTACGCTTAGTGCGTCCCATACTTGATTGTTGGTGGCGCTGTCCAGAATGAAAAAAAGAGTAGTAATAAGGGACTTGTGGAAAGTTTCATTTATTCATCAACAATTAAATAGACAAAAAGCATAAATATAAAAATACAATGGTGAAAAGGACAACCAAAAAAAAAACTCAGAAGAGCTTGTAAATTAAGGTGTGCGGAGTAAGGGAAAAAAAATAAAAGGCCAAGTAAAAAATAATGACCAATGCCAACAACAGCAAGTAAAATAAACAGCCAGAAATAGAACCAGAGCTTTCGGACAACACTAGTCCTTCCTCAGTGGCGAGTGAGTGAGGGTAGAAAAAGCTAGATGTTATAAAGTGAGAATTTCATGCAAGCATGATTGGAAACAATAAGCTTGGTGAGATTAGAATAAACAGCTTAAACAAGTAAACAGGAAGGCCAAAACTAAACTTTGATAATAAATGCCAAACTTTTTGATCATAAGGTGGGACCTTTTTTATTCCTTGTTTCGCGAACTTGTTTTATTTTTGAAGATCATCAATGAAGGGCGGAATAAAAATAGGCCTAGGGCCTACCTGTGTTTTTTCTGAAATTTTCATTCTTTTCTTTTTTGATTGATTGATTTAACTGATTGACAGAATATATTCGGTATCAAAACAGAAATTAAATAAGAAATATATGCACCCACGGAAGGTCACATAGCATTGGTTTTGAACAATGGCATGGTATACAACACCACCACCATGGCACCAAGGTCCAAAGAAGACAGCCAAATGAAGTGGATTCGGAATAACAACAGTCTAGCCTAGCAGTAGGCCACTAATAATAAATAACCTACCATTGACAAGTACACATATGAAGCATATAGTTCTAAATTAATCTGCTTATTAATACCAGCTTCAGACTCTTCATGGTAATTCTGGCGACAAAGTGAAGACATCTTTTGCTTTCAGAATCTAAAACTCCTAGGCCTAAACCACACTACCGATGAAATAACAATGGAAAGCGAGGCGATTGACATGACCAGACACAAAATAAAACAGAAATTATAGCTTAACGCCCTCTGTGGATTTTATTCTGGTGCCCGTATTTATCTGTACATGATAAAGGTACCTTTAATGTTTTATATTTGTTTTTATATATTAATATATTTCTTTTAAAAAATGAATGAATGAAAGACATGGCCAGCTATAGCTAATTATGTGAATGATCTAGGTTTCTGTACTGAGAGCTTTATTTCTTTTAGAGGCTCAAAATTTTCGGAATAAATTGCCATTAGATAACTTAAATATTAGTCTAATTTCTTTAAAATATAATAAACATTGTATCAATATAATGTGACTAATACTGGCCCACACACTTTCTAATACCGTTTGTCATACTAATTTATTTTTGTAATACTTTTATATTATTACTATTGTTATAATTATTATGTTCAGTGTGTAAACCACCGACGACAAACGTTAGATCGTCGTACGCGTACAAGGTAGATTTGTTTTTGCTCTTTGGTAAATAAATAAACAAATGAATTTGGCCTGTAGTATTAAGATTCTGTTCCTATCGCTACGGCCTTATTATGCCACTGATCACCTTCAAGGGAATCCAGAATAAATCTAGCAACATCCGCACGAGAGATGAAATATGGCGTTTGATGCAGAACATTACGCTCCTCTGCAATAATCAATTTATCTGAAAGATATAAATTAATTAATTAATTAAAAGGGTTTTAAACGTATTCCAAGATAAAGATAATGTATGCATTATTTTAAGAGTACATCACCGTGCTGCTATGCGACTATTAGCGTCTACATCAACCAGCCAGGCAGTTGCTTTACACATTCAGCTTTTGATACATCTGCTGCTGTTGGCTGTTTATGTTATTGATGCTGTCGCCGATATTGACTGCCATTGTTGCTACTTTCGTTGCTGTTGCCGTGATACGGTGCTACAATGTTTTTGCTTTGTAGGTTGCTGATGCCACTATTTTCGTTGGTGCTGTGCTTTGGGGGTACCGCTGTGGCTATAAATTTAGTCTACTACTACTGACAGTACTGTGATGCTGCCACCGCACGCTGCTGTCCGCTACTACTACTGGTGAATGCTGCTGCTCGTATGTAGGGTTTTGTCACGTACCATACTATTAATGGATACTGCCTCGCTGATTGAGCGTTTATGTTCGGGTGGGAGTAGGCCTACTTTTCCGTTGCTGGTGCTTATAGGCCTATACTATATATTGTATTTTGGTTGCTGCCCAGATGCTGCTGTTTCTTTTATTGTGGGTGTTACCATGGTATCCATCTGCTGTTTGTGGTCGTGCGGTTGTGTTTGTTAATCGGTGGGTGGTGGTACACAACTGCTGCATGGTGCAATTGTGAAATTGGTGCTGGTTGTAATATAGTCTGCCGACTTTGTGAGCTATAGCTGCTGCAAGTTTTGCGGAATATCACGCAAGATACCATAGGGCCTACTTACATAGAAAAGCACAATAACCTAATTTACCTGTCATTGGAGCGTCTTTCAGACCAGGAGGACGCACAACCGTATATTTAATATCGTCGTTCTGTTGTGCGCATGCCATTATCATATCCTCCATTTCCGACATGTTGGTAAGAATTCTACCAATGAGTAATGTATTTAGCAGCCACTCCATCCAGAATGGTC